GCTGTGAAGTCCTTTGGTGGGGGCGGCAGAGGCTGCTGGAAGGGGTGGTGGTGGCAGAGGGAGCCTTGGTGGGACTGAACGCTTAGGGTGGATGAATGGTGTGGAAGAGCGCCCCCTGTGGGAAGGGCAAGGCAGCTGTCTAAGAAATGGTGGGGAAGACTGGGCTCCTCTCCTCCCCCCACCTTCTTGTCTATTTTCCTCTATTTCCCCTTTCTTTGCATTCACTTGGTGGCGTTGTTTCCCCTTGACGGCCTCCTCCTCTTCTGGGATCCACCCCGCCCCCTGCCTCGCCCTTGGAGGCTGCCCGGAGCCCTCCAGGAAAGCCGCAGAAGGGAGAGGAGCCCCGCCGAGGCACCTGGATGGGCTTCCTCTCAGCTGGGCTGCGGGCCTCGAGGGGTTGGCTAGTTCAAGGCCGCTTCTTCCCCGGGCCCTGTTGGGGCTCCATCTCTAGAGGCTGCGAGGGGCCCCGCCAAGGGGAGGAGAGCCTCACCAGTAACCGCAGCGGTGGGACCGAAGCGTGGCGCCCCCCAGATGGGGAAGGGGGGAGAAGCGCTCCACCGGAGGGGGCTGCAGGGAGGAAGGGGACGGGGCTTCTAAGAGCTGGAGCTTCCCTAGGCGCCTCTCCCGGGGCTGAGCCGGGCTGATGGGCGAGAGAAGCCCGCAGGGCCATGGAGGAAGAGGCTGGCGGGGAAGCTGCCGCCGTTGCCCTCTGGGAAGCCTCTGAGGTTTCTCTCGCTTCGACGCTCCGTTTGCCAAGGTTGCGCAGCGGGCAGGGGAGAGGCGGCGCTCGGGAAGAGGGGGAGCGGCGGCAGCAATCGTGCAAAAGTGCAAGGCCAGGGAAGGGGTTGGGAGTGACTCTTCTCTTGGCTGTGTGTGTGTGTGTGTGTGTGTGTGTGTTTTGTGTGTGTGTGTCCCTCCTTTTCCCTGCGTCCAGCTGAGGTTATGAGAGCGCTGGAATCGCCCAGAGGTTTGCCCAGAGGAGCAGATTGGAGCCCTCGGAAACATCCCCCCCCCCGGACCTTCTTTCCATTGGGGGTGCTGCGAGGAACCCCGGTCAGCCAGGCAAGTCCAGTCCTGAGCTTCTGCCTTGTCTGGACGCTGGGAAGGTCTGGATCAGAGGTGGGTTCCTACCAGTTCACACCTATTCGGTAGAACCGGTTCATCAAATCTACCGGACCGGTTAGAAGAGGTTCCACTAGTGGACCCGGAAAGCAGGCCACACCTACAGAAGAGGTTCCAAATTTTTTTGAAACCCGCCACTGGCAAGGATCTTGTAACTTGACAGC